CTAAACCCTTAAACCTAAACCCTACACCCCCCTATAACACCCTAAACCCCCTATAAAACCCCTAGAGCCCTTAGGAGGCCGATTGGACCCCCGGCCTGGTCCTCGACGCCTACGGCGACCGCGCGGTCTGCGCCTTCGACGGGGCTGGGGCCGAGGCCTTCTGGCGCCCCAGGCGGCGTCTCAGGGATTGAGTCGTTAAACCCCATATAGCTTCAAGAAGAAGGTTGCCAGGATTTCTACAAGAAACAATGACTTCAAGAATACTGTGACCAAGATTTCTATTAGTTTAAGAAAGGGTAAGAATGAGAAGAAGAAGAAGAAGAGAAGAGCAGCAATAGTGTAGTGTCGATGTGGAGAGTCTATGCAGCCTCAGCGAAGCTTCATGTTCCTGGTGCAGCTGATGTAGAAGTGGACACTCCAGAACCCTTGCACCACTCAGTCGAGAAGTTTTTGACGGAAGAGTCGGCCTCCTGTAGGGTGACAAGGTTTAAGCATAGGACGACGGAGCTGGTCATGTTCGGGGCCTCAAGAGTCCAAGTTTCAGTCAATATTTAAGACAAGCATATGCAGGCTTGTTGGATTGCTACTGATACTCTTCGCCGCAAAGCCTTGCGCGGTTTCACTGGCCTCTTGCTGCATTCTCGTGCCGTTGAGACAGGTTGCCCATTGTCATCGATGCCTTCGGCGAAGCTGGTTACTGAGCTGAACACACAGCAGTCTGCCTGATAATAAAAGGCTCAGCCTGGAGGCATAGGGTAAGTGAAGGAACAGGCTAGTCATGTCTGTCAGCTCTGCTGTAAGTTATGACAAAGGGGTTCTGAGACCTCAGGATACAAACTCTCCGGCGTGCACTTTGGATGATTTCAGCAGCTCTTTTGCATTCCTGTTCAGACACTCGCCGTGAGCCTAGTTACTAGTTATGTCTGGCATCGTTCACGGAAGACGGGAAAAGGGATAGCACGAATCGCAGGTGTTTTGAGCCACTGCTTCTCCGTACGAAGGATCAACAAGGACGGCACCGAGACGCTGTGGGGAACTGCACCCTCAAAAGAAGCTTCCAGCTTCGAGGAGAACGGCGTCATGTATGAGGCAGTTCGCCCGTCTTGATGCTTTTTGCAAGACAATGCCCACGCATCCAAGCTGCAAAGGTTGACGTTTGGCACGGCCACAAGACGGGTTTCTTCCTGGACCAACGCCCTAATCGGCCGCATGGCTTCGGAGTATAATAAGCTGCATGATGGAGAGCTGTCACCTGCAAGGGAGTATCAAGAGGGGTTGATGGAGCCTTGAGGCCCTCAGCCCACCAAGAAGCCATACCCACAAGAGAGTATTCAGAGCCCTGCCGATGCCTGCGCGCCGGGGGCAAGCCAATGAGGCCGCAATACTTAGCAATACTTCCCATCCACCGTATTAGTTTTCATATACATAGTTGAATTACTATCTTAAATTGAATGACCCCTTTTAACCTATAGTTCAACTTACCATTTTAGATTAAACTACCACTGTAAATCTACGATTTCGACCTCAGAACAGGGGGCAAAGTTAGTTTTAGGGCAAAAGGCCCAGAGACCGACGAAGATGGCCCCCCGAGGCTTCGCCTACGGGAGCTGGCAGCCGGGAAGGACGCGCCCCGATTCTCCCAATGTGTGGGTTTAGGGTTGAGGGAGTTTAGGGGTTCGGGGTTTAGGGGTTCAGGGTTTAGGGTTGAGGGACTAGGGTTTGGGGGTTTAGGGATTAGGGTTTTTGGGTTTCGGGTTTAGGGTGTAGGGATTAGGGTTTTTGGGCTTAGGGTTTAGGGTGTACGGGTTCAGGTGTTTGGGGTTTAGGGGTCAAGGGTTTAGGGCTTGATCGTGATAGTGTGAGTGATGACAGTGATCAGAATGTTCAGTGTAGTCACAATCAGAGTTCATACTTGGCGCCATGTTCATGATCAGTCTCTCAACCATCTTTCATAATCGTAAGAAGAAAGAGAGCTATCCATGGTCATGATGTGAATGCGATAACGAGCACCAGCAAGCAATAGTAATCACAGTACTGCCAATTCCTTTCGAAAAGAAGAAGAAAACGGGTAATGATGATGGTGGTGGTGATTGGCGGTGCTGGTGATGTTGGAGGTGAACGTCGCAGTGACAGCCACGATGTTGACAAACATGCTACTGGTAGTTGCTATTGGTTGTTGGTGCGGTCGAATTGCAGGGCCCTTCGGCACCGGACCTATCAAGGATGGAATCCCATAGGACCATAAGTGCAAGTTGCCCCCTTCAAAAGCTTGCTGCCTCGCCGACCAAGCAGCAGCGGAACACTGATTCAAAGGCCCGAAGTGCACGCCGCAGCTGCCACCTTGACTGCAGGACGTTCTGGATCTCTTCAGCTTCTTGGAGACAACGTATTCCGGAGACTGAAGTGCATGTGCCCGACATCCGAACCCTTGGATCCGACAGCCTCATGCACCCAAACCCAGCCACGGACGAAGGCTACACCGGTGGCTTCGTCGTGGCAGCAGCCCTCGGAGGTGCCCCGATCCGTGTGGGGGTGGGAGGAGTCCTGACTGTGAGTGAGCTGTCGGCTTGATTCGAGCACAACCACACACACAGAGACACAGGCACACGCGGTGATTTTGTACCCACTTCTTCGCCGGGTGCTCTAGGTGTGGCATGATCCTCTGACTTATCTGAGTCCACACGTGATAGTATGTGGGGTGCTCGGGCTCCCGGCGTGCAGCAGACGTAGTTGGCCATGCATGACCTTACAGTCAGGAGTACCTTACTTTATTTTTCATGCTCGGGCCAATTCAACGACGGCGACTACTGCGGTTCGTACAGCGACGACAGGGACGACGACGACAACGACATCCACTGCCACCGAGACTGCTACTGCGACAGTCACTATCAGACACTATCAATACCATTACACTACCATCACCCACCACCACTACTGCCACTCCTACAGCTGCTAAGACGACGATGACGACGGCTACAACCACTCCTGCTCCTCATCCTACTCTTATTATTGCTGCTGCTGCTGCTATTATTATTATTA